GTGAAAATAGATAAGTCCCCTGGGCCGGATGGGATTTATCCTAGGATTCTCTGGGAAGCTAGAGAGGAGATTGCAGAGCCTTTGGCTTTGATCTTTATGTCGTCATTGTCTTCAGGAATAGTGCCAGAAGACTGGAGACTAGCAAATGTTGTCCCCTTGTTCAAGAAGGGGAGTAGAGACAACCCTGGTAATTATAGACCAGTGAGCCTTACTTCGGTTGTGGGTAAAGTGTTGGAAAGGATTATAAGAGATAGGATTTATAATCATCTGGAAAGGAATAATTTGATTAGGGATAGTCAACACGGTTTTGTGAAGGGTAGGTCGTGCCTCACAAACCTTATTGAGTTCTTTGAGAAGGTGACCAAACAGGTGGATGAGGGTAAAGCGGTTGGTGTGGTGTATATGGATTTCAGTAAAGCCTTTGATAAGGTTCCCCATGGTAGGCTATTGCAGAAAATACGGAGGCATGGGATTGAGGGTGATTTAGCGGTTTGGATCAGAAATTGGCTAGCTGTAAGAAGACAGAGGGTGGTGGTTGATGGGAAATGTTCATCCTGGAGTTCAGTTACTAGTGGTGTACCTCAAGGATCTGTTTTGGGGCCACTGCTGTTTGTCATTTTTATAAATGACCTGGATGAGGGTGTAGAAGGATGGGTTAGTAAATTTGCGGATGACACCAAAGTCAGTGGAGTTGTGGATAGTGTGGAAGGATGTTGCAGGTTACAGAGGGACATAGATAAGCTGCAGAGCTGGGCTGAGAGGTGGCAAATGGAGTTTAATGCGGAAAAGTGTGAGGTGATTCACTTTGGAAGGAGTAACAGGAATACAGAGTACTGGGCTAATGGTAAGATTTTTGGTAGTGTGGATGAGCAGAAAGATCTTGGTGTCCATGTGCATAGATCACTGAAAGTTGCCACCCAGGTTGATAGCGTTGTTAAGAAGGCATACAGTATGTTAGGTTTTATTGGTAGAGGGATTGAGTTTCGGAGCCATGAGGTCATGTTGCAGCTGTACAAAACTCTGGTGCGGCCGCACTTGGAGTATTGCGTACAGTTCTGGTCACCGCATTATAGGAAGGATGTGGAAGCATTGGAAAGGGTGCAGAGGAGATTTACCAGGATGTTGCCTGGTATGGAGGGAAGGTCTTATGAGGAAAGGCTGAGGGTTTTGAGGCTGTTTTCGTTAGAGAGAAGAAGGTTAAGAGGTGACTTGATAGAGACATACAAGATGATCAGTGGATTAGATAGGGTGGACAGTGGGAGCCTTTTTCCTCGGATGGTGATGGCTAGCATGAGGGGACATAGCTTTAAATTGAGGGGTGATAGATATAGGACAGATGTCAGAGGTAGGTTCTTTACTCGGAGAGTAGTAAGGGCGTGGAATGCCCTGCCTGCAAAAGTAGTAGACTCGCCAACTTTAAGGGCATTTAAATGGTCATTGGATAAACATATGGATGATAATGGAATAGTTTAGGTTAGATGGGCTTCAGGTTGGTTTCACAGGTCCACGCAACATCGAGGGCCGAAGGGCCTGTACTGCGCTATAATGTTCTATGTTCTATGTTCTATGTTCCCTGGCCCCTCACCCTGCCCTGTTACCCCTCATCCTGTGATGTCCTTCTGACTTCAGGACATTACCAAGAATGTGCCTTCACTGACCCACAGGAAACGTTGTAATGTACGATATACAAATTGAGCACCACATGCTCCCACAGCCAGGAATCGGAGCAATCAGCAAGTAATGCTGCAAATGCTTTGGTGAAAAATGATTTTGACTAACAGAATGGGGGTTCTTAAAACCCCTGTTTCCATAGATACCAAATGATCTTGTACACACTCCTTCAGCACTGACCCTCCGACAATGCGGCACTCCCTCAGCACTGACCCTCCGACAGTGTAGTATTCCCTCAGCACTGACCCTCCGACAGTGTAGTATTCCCTCAGCACTGACCCTCCGACAGTGTGGCTCTCCCTCAGCACTGACCCTCCGACAGTGCAGCGCTCCCTCAGCACTGACCCTCCGACAGTGCAGCGCTCCCTCAGCACTGACCCTCCGACAGTGTTGCACTCCCTCGGGACTGACTTTCTTACAATCCTTGCGCCCAATTACTCTGGGGGTATTGGGTTACAATATTTGCTCATGTCTGTCATGTGCTTTTGATAGTATACTCTTCCAACCCTGGCTTTTATTCCCTTGCAGTGTACAGTTTCCCAGCGTTAGCACATCAAGGTTGCACAGCACCAAAGGCTTTTTAAATAAGAAATGAAAGAAAATGTGCTTACATCCTGAAAATCTGATTTCTGCAGAGAGGTTGTGTTTCCATCATCCAATGGAACAATTCCTGTGTGAACGAGACTCAAATGAAATAAATCAGTTCTGACATTAACCAGGAGGTCCCTATACGCTGTGATGGATACAGTGGCCAATAGGTACAAAACAATTGAACAGAGTTTGTCGGAAAATTTCCCGATTAAATATCTGAACATTGGTTGAATTCCACAGTTTTACCTTGGAGTGGGTCCTTGGTCAGGCCCAGCTGACTGATGATATACCGTGGGAGATCGGTCTTTATTCCATGCCCAATTTTTGCATGACCCTCTGCTGCTTCCAGCAAATGATAAAACTCCTCAGGATCAAACTCCTAAAACAAAAATACATAAAACGTTATGCAATAACCTCTGCTGTTCATGATCTACATAAATAATTTGGAGGAAAACGTAGCTGACCAAATTAGTATGTTTTCGGACTTTGGTGGAGTTTCAGATAGTGAGGAGGATTGTCAGAGGGTACAGCAGGATATAGATCAGTTGCAGCCATGGGCAGAAAAGTGGCAGATGGAGTTTGATCCGGACAAATGTGAGGTGATGCATTTTGGAAGGGCAAGTGCAGGTGGAAATTATACAGTGAATGGCAGAATCCTTAGAAGTATTTATGTGCAGTTGGATCTGGGTGTGCAGGCTCACAGATCACTGAAGGTGGCAGAGCAGGTAGATAAGGTAGTAATAAGGCCTATGGCATGCTTGCCTTCATTGGAAGCTGCAATGAGTATAAGGATAGACAAGTTATGCTGCAACTTTATAGAATGTTAGTTTGGCCACACTTGGAATATTGTGTATAGTTCTGGTCACCACACTACCAGAAGGATGTGGATGCCTTGGAGAGGGTACTGAAAAGGTTTACCAGGATGTTGCCTGGTATGAGGGAATTTAGCTCAAAGAAAGTTTGGAAAGACTGGCTTTGTTTTCACTGGAATGCAGGAAGTTAAGGGGATGACCTGATAAAAGTTTATAAGATTGTGAATGGCATAGATAGAGTGGAAAGTATGAGGCTTTTTCCCAGGATATATGGGTCAATTACTACAGGACGTAGGTTCAAGGTGCGAGGGGGCAAGTTTAAAAGAGATGTGCAAGACACGTTTTTCACACAAAGAGTGGTGAGTGCCTGGAACTTGTTGCCAGAGGAGATAGTGGAAGCAGACACAATAGCAGCGTTCAATAAGCACCTGGACAAATACATGAATAGGAAGGGAATGGAGGGATACAGATCCTGTAAGTGAAGACAGTTTTAGTATGGAAGGGCAAAATGTGTCAGCACAGGCTTGGAGGGCCAAAGGGCCAGTTCCTGCGCTGTATTGTTCTTTGTTCTTTCTAAAAATCCTGTGAAGCACATTTGGCAGGTTTAGGGTGTCTTACTGTGTAACCACATAGAGTCAGTATTTACTCAGCAGGGTAAGGGTCACTCACTGTGTAACTGTACAGAGTCAGTTTTATTCGTCAGGATAAGGGTCACTCACTGTGTAACTGTACAGGGTCAGTGTTTATTCAGC